AATATTTTTTTGTAAATAGGAGCAGCTATCAAGATCTTTTTCTTCTTCTGCTGCCTTTCATTTAATTTTATTTGTATTGTTTTGTTGTATGTAATGTTTTGCTTTTTAAAATGAGATGAATAAATACTAAAAACTAAGAAAAAGATCTGTGACCGGGTCTCAGATCTTTTTGGCAACAATGGCCTAAGTGAGAACTGTGAGAAAATGTTCTCCTGTGCTGTTGAATCACTGAGTGCTAACCTAGAAGACACTCACTCACTTCCACAGCTTTTTTTTTAAACAATGTGCTTATTTGCTTGAGCAGTTACTATGTTAATGATGGATTTTCTATGCAAAGTTCTTAACAATGTTCACCTAGTACCTCACCCAATAATGGGCAGACTGTTGCCATTACGTGGAGCCACAACAACCTGTGCCAGGACTTGAAATCTCTGGAGCACTTCCTCTGTGGAGCWCTGGGATAGAAAGCTCAAGGAGTATTTTGAATCCCATATATATAGTATGCTTGCATATATTTATAATAATACTTTGTAATAAAAAATCATTTGTGCCATTTATGTGATGCAATATATGGCTATGCTAAAAGTTGTATATTTTGTAACCCTTTTTCTTTTTTTATTAAGGATGTGAGCTTTTGTCTTGTGAGCTTATGTCAGGGACTCGGTGAGGACACTGAAGGTGTAAGTGACTGTGTCTCTGAATACATTGGGTTCTGAATGTACTACAAGTCCATCCCTACAAAAGAGGTCATTTGCTTTCCTAAAAGTACTACTTAAAAAAAAGATGGCCAATAAGTCAAAATCCAACGTTTGTGGAAACTAATAATACCTTCTTGACCAAGCCTAGTGAAATAGCTAATTATTTTAAGGATTTATTTATTGACAAGGTTGCTAAATTAAGAATAGGTATTCTTAAAATTAATAAAATGATGCAAAATAACAGCATTAAAGAATGTCCTGATGCATCTCAGTAATCCAGGTAAAAAATCAAAAGGAAAAGAAAATTGTATAGGTCCTCTGGACGGGTTCTTCTTTAATGAAACGTTTAGTCTCTCTTCCAAAGAGACTTCTTCAGTCTGAGAGTTTCAGGCAAAATTCAGGCTTTTGAGTCCTGCCTCCAGGTGACTGATACTCACATCGCATGGCTATCGTTCACAGGTGACTGATACTCACATCACATGGCTATCGTTCACAGGTGACTGATACTCACATCACATGGCTATCGTTCACACCTAATTAATACCTATTGTTAACAGGGGGTGGAGTGATACTGCCAATGGCAGCGCTGTAGGAGGGGGACAGCTGAAAACGGAGGACCCCACCTCTGTTTAATCATGGACGGTCTTTCTTCACAAAAGTTCTATTATTATTTTTAAAACATGAGGAAAAATAATTAAAAACACCAGAAAGTTTTAATTAATGCTGAGTTATTACTTCTTAAGTTTTCAAGCCCTTTTTGAAACGATTCAGTGTAAATAAGTAAAGTTTTGTCAGTAAGAAGTCATAGCAATTATACTGAGATTGTTCCAAGCATAAATGTTTTTCTGTAAATGTACAATCTCAGCCGATCTCCAGCTAATTTTTCCTTCACTTCTTTTCAGGGACACAGCATTCTTATTACACTTTTATTATTTCAAGGTGTTTTTCTAGTAGTTTAGTCTGCCGAAACAGATATTAACCCCGCTGTCTGTCTTTCAAGGCCCTTTCAACAATGACCCYTATACATAAAACGCATCTATGATTTATTTAACAGGCCAAAATTTTTTCTTTGAACATACAGGTCAAGAACTATTCACACCCACCCGGCACCCAAGTTATTTTAATTATCCCCTTACTGATTACCCTGACAATATTGCTTACCAACCTAGACAAGCACGTATTACAGATACATACTCAGCCTTTTAGAAAAAACCCAAAGTCCGGAAAAAGCCTTAAAGAACTAGCTCAAGATAAATTTCGCTTGAAGAAAAACAAGTGGAAACACCACTTGGTTCTATAGATATTAATAAACCTGGAGGTATGGATGAAATTGATGGGGAACTTTTGAAGTTAGTAGCAAATTGTATAGCTGGTCCTGTTTGTCATATTTTAAATAAAAGTATAGAAAACAGCATTTTAGATGGCAAAGGAAGATAGCAAAAGTTGTTCCAATTAGAAAAAACACAACAGAGAGTCTAAGTGGACCAAACTGTTGACCTATTAGCCTGTTGACAATACTTGAAATACTGGAAAGATTGATTGCTGAGCAAGTGGAAAATTATGATTTAGTAAATCAATTATTTACACCTTTTCAMCATGCTTATCRTAAAGGTCATTCAACAGCATCTGCACCAACTCAGGTGACAGATGATTGTTTAAATTCCATTGACAAGAATAATTTAGTTGGAGCTGTTTTATTAGACTTTAGTTCTGCTTTTGACCTGTTAGATCATGATTTACTGTTAGATAAACTTAGGCATTATAAATTTGCATTGCATACTGTAGGGTGGTTTGCTAGTTACCTTTCTCAATGAGAGCAATGTGTATTTTTTAATGGCAGTTTTTCAACTACAAAAATATTGCAATGTGGAGTTCCACAGGGCAGTTGCTTAGGACGTTTGCTATTTTCTATTTTCACCAATGACCTGCCACCTGTCCTACAGCATGCTAAGGCTGTGATGTATGCTAATGACACCACAATATTTATGTCAAGTCCATCTGACACACTGTCCGGCACTCTAGACCGTGAATTCAAGGAGGTTGTTAAATGGGTGAAAAAAAAAAAAGCTTTAAATATATCTAAAACTAAAAGTATAATATTTGGGTCAAATTGGAAACTGAAGACTCAGCCAAAATTAGATTTGTCTATAAATGACACAGCCATTACTCAGGTAGAGGAAATTATGGGTATCACCATAGACAGCAGATTGGAGTGGTCTCAGCAGATTGAGCATATTGTTACAGTAATGGGAAGACAACTGTGTGTTATAAAAAGATGTTTGAAGTATATACCTTTAAAATTAATTCATCAAATCATTAAYGCAGTTGTCTTGTCTCACTTGCAGCTACCAACTGTTTTATATAATCAACTTTTGTTTAGCCACACTGTACACATGTTCAATACTAGACATGCTTTAAAAGGTTTGATTCTTCCACAACACAACCGGAATGCTGGAAAAAAGATTATTATTTTTAGAGGAATGAGAACATGGAATTCCCTTCCTTCATCATTTTTAAATATAACAAATGTCAGAACTTTTAAAAGAGCATTGTTTAATTATTTTGTCACGTAGAGTGTTATAATTGCACATTTATGAACTGATATACTATGTTACTAATGTTATATTAAGTGCATGTAACTGTAATTGTTTTTTTGTAATGTTTGTTTTTTTAAGGACCCCAGGAAGAGTAGCCCTTGTTACAGCAAGGGCTAATGGGGATCCTAAATAAACAAAAAATAAATGGCCTGGAAAGGAAAATACAGAATAAGTGAGCAAAGCCATTTTTAGGAAGAAACTGCAGAAAAAAACTCCAGAACAACCAAATTAGGAACATGCTGTGTGGGCAGCAGAAGGACATGAACAAAGAGCAAATTCATTTAAGCAGTTTTCAAAAGGTTTGACTCCAGTGTCCCATCCCTGTACCCCAACACTGTGTAAAATATTATGAGACCTGATCCAGCCACTTTGCTGTACCCCATGTCTTGACAAACATGACCTCTCACATCATGTAGGTCATTGAGAGGTTTGTCCTGGCTCACCTGAGATCACTGACAAGCTCATCCCAAGACCCTCTGCAGTTTGCATATCAGTCAAAAACAGGAAACGACGACACTGTCATCTTGTTGAAAAGGCATACTCCTTCCTGGACTGACCCCATACCACAGTATGCATCATGTTCTTCAATTGCTCCAATGCCTTCAACATCATCCAGCCCAGGCCAAACTGGAGGACCTGCAAGTAGATGCTCCCCTGGTGAGATGGACTGACAACTATTTGCTGAGCAAACCCAAGTTTGTGAGACTACAGAACTGAATGTCTGAACGTCTGATCAGCAATATTGGGGCTCCCCAGGGAACTGTACTGTCTCCGTTCCTTTTCACCACAGACTTCAGGTACTGCAACGAGTCATGACATCTGCAGAAATACTGTCAAACTACAAATAACTGTGAGTCTATCTGGAGTGGTCCACCATCAAAGCAAAGGACGATATAACAGACTGAAAAGAATTAAGAATTAACCTGCTGCAGGCTTAAAGCTTATCCGTTTGGAGGAGATGACTGACAGGATGCTGGACAAATTGCAGGACTCTCTCTCTCTCTCTCTCTCTCTCTCTCTCTCTCTCTCTCTCTCTCTCTCTCTCTCTCATATAAATCTCTTGAACTTTTAGTACAGGTTTTCCTCCTCAGCCACTAGGGAGCACCAGAGGAATACCAGATCTTAGAGAAACAGCTTTCATTGTTAAACTTTCTCCTGTCAACAGAAGAGCAACAAACTAAATCACTGCTGAGCAGTATTGGAAATGTGAGAAAGCTTCTCTTGTATTTCTTCAGGTGTTCCCAGTTAGAAGCCTCATGTTGTCTTTTTGTATTCTGTTTTTTAAAAGTGTTTATATGGGGGAAAAGCTAGTTTGGACTTTAAAGGGGCAATATCACATGTTTCTCAGGCATATGTTTAAATACTATACCATAAAAAAGTATCTATGTCACCTTTAGTTGTTATTAAAATGCTGCTTTTATGCTTAAATAGAAAATAAACTTTTCTTCTCATCGCTTCCTCTTCTAAACGCTTTGAAATTGGCCTCTGTCTCTTTAAGAACCACCTTCCGCTTCCGTCCCGTAAGTTTCAGTGCGTGTCTGTGTGTGTATTTGTGTGTTTGTGTGTGGGAGGGGTGGTTGTTTCGCGCGTGTGCTATGATGCAGTTTACTTGGCATCTGAAAATACATTTCCTCAAAGGTATTTTGAATCTGAAAAGAGCTTCACTGAGTGAGAAGAAGTGTTAGGAGCAGCAGACAGCTTAAGTTTCACTTTCACTTTGCTCTGTTGCAGGAGTCATGGGCAGGGTGTGTGGGGTGGGGGTGGGGAGGTGTGCTCCGTGATGAGGAAGTTCGGCTTAAAGACTCGTCCCAGGGGCGTTTCTGGTACCAAAAGGTGTTTCTGGTCCACACCTGTCGTTTTGCTCCTCAGCATGGCTTCCTAAAAACACTGCAGGATTTCTCAAACACGCATTAATGAGTCAGAGCAAGGCTTTGGGCATGTTTTTTTATGAGAGTATAACATTATAGCATGACATAAAACTCAAAAAAGTTGATTTTACATGATATTGCCCCTTTAAAAATTTAAAATGTAAAGTTCAAATATTGTGAGACTTTGAAGCTGACTTTTAATCAATGCTTTATGTTGCCTTTTTTACGCTCCTTTAAGAGCTTATAGATAAAAAGTCGACTTTACATGGAGGGAAATACACAACAGGGTCTAAATGTGACTGATGAGTTTCAGTCATTGTGTTTCTGCTATAATGAGTTCTCTAATGCTGAACACAGCAGGGTGATTTTCTAAAAAAAAAAAAAAAAAAAGAAATCCCTCATTGGTCAAAGCTATTGGAGGATCCGACAGTGGATTTAGAGCAGAAGGTGGAGTTGAACCAAAGCTATAAGTTGTGGAAAAATCCAAAAAAGTTTGTGTAACAGAGACACTGATACAAACTTACACACACATACACGCACACCCACACCCACCCACACACATAGACGTGCACACACCCACAAACAGAGTGAGATAGAAAGCAGAGGGAAACTTAAAGGGTCTTGCATTAGGAAGGCTGTTTGCCATGGAAAGCACTTCATAAGTTCTTGGAGAGGGTCTGCCCTTGAAGACTTTTTTCTTTTTGACTGAATCAAAAGCACAACTTTTGTCCACACAAGAAAAGGGGAAAAAATGAAGGAACAGGGGGTCTCTCAGCGGAAGACAGTGGACGTAACCCGACCCAAAGTTTGGCTGAGGAATGAACTTTTACGTGTCGGACTTGCTGAATTCCTATGCACATATGTGATGATGGTAAGAACCCTTCATTTGTTAAATAAAATGTTTCACATTTATCACTGTTTGTTAGAATAAATGATTTCAAACTGATAGAAAACGTCTTACATCCACCCCTCTGATTGTAGCTAACCTTCCTGTCCTGATGTTCTCTCCTCTCACAGAGGATGTGTTATTAATAATTAATGCAATGCTCTTTATGCTGATGACCTGACCCACTCCTCAAACACAAACAGCCAAGTTTGTGCAGTCACATGAGTGGTGAGTGTGTGCTGATTGGTGRGTAGCAGGGGGAGAACCAGGAAATCTAATGTTACAAGAGCAATGGTCAGACCATGGGTCAGRCAGTGGGCCACATGGAGGGGGTGTCCAATGTCATGTTATCTGTCAGCTGTTACAATGAACCAATATTCAGAAGAGTGGGAGTAATGCTGCTGCCTGCACAGTGAAAGAAAAATGGAAATGGCGATTAGAGGAATGTGAGGACACACAGGAATCTGGTGATTTCCTAATAACTTCACTGACTCTTAACCTAAATATACTCAGTTTCCTGCAGTTTTTCCCTTAGTGTCAGCTGTTTTTCTTTCATCGAGCAAAACTTTAAAAGCAACCACAAGCATCATTTTATCACTCGTATTCTTGGCCTTGTGTCAAACATAATTGGATGGTTTAAGACATCTGTTTATTAACTGAATATCCATCTTGTAAATAACTATAAAACTAAAGGAACTGCATTTTCTGCACAAATGCAGTTTGAACTCTTAGTGCTGAAATCTGCTGAAGCTGATAGTCGTTAAAGCTGAAAGAGGCAAAAAAAAACAACAACCCTAAAAGTAGCAACAGGCTAGGTGAAAGCTAAAAGTATCAACGGGGCAGCTAAAATATAAAAGTGGCAAAAGTAGCAGAATAGAAAAAAGTTTTAACAAATTCCTATTGCAAGCTGTCACAATGTTTTGGATTTATAAGTATAAAATGTTTTGAGGAGTTAATGCAAATATGTACAAGGACTTTTAGAGTCAAGGAAGTTTAAAAYATTTTTGTGGCTAAAAGTAGTAGAATGAAAACCATAACAGGACAGAATGTATGCTGAATCAWAATTCAATGTTCATTCATATTAATGTCTTTAACCGAACTGAAATGATCTCAGTGCATTTTCATGGGGGGGCGGGTGTAAAATAAGTAAAAAACATCTTGAAAACTAAAAACATCATAGCACMCTTCTCCTGAATAAGCAGAAAGTTTTGTGAGCTGCTGAAACAGCAAAATGTATGCAGAAGTAAGAGTAGCAGATTGCAAAAAACGTAGAGAAAACAAAAACTAAAGAGAGAACATAGTATTAATGGTGACTGTGTTCACTCAGTACTCACTGGACTGTGGGTTTTCTGTCTGTATCCAGGCTCTGGGGATGGGCTGTGTGGCGCAGGTGGTGACTGGACAGGGGGAATTTGGAAACTTCCTCAGCATCAACATAGGTTTCGGGCTGGCTGTTGCTATGGGGGTTCATGTTGGAGGAAATGTCTCAGGTAGATTAAACCCTCCTAGAACATTCCCTCGTATAGAAAACACACTTCACCTGATTTTTTTTCTTTCTTTCAGGAGCTCATATGAACGGAGCTGTGTCGTTTACAATGTGTGTGTTTGGACGCTTAGCGTGGAAGAGGCTGCCTCTGTATATTCTCGCCCAGCTGATCGCATCATTTCTTGCAGCAGCAACAATCTATGGAGTCTATTACGGTGAGGACATGCTACTGTTGTCTACTCAGAGCTGTATTTTCAGCACTAATTCTGATAGACAAAACGATAATAGTTCTGTTAACTTATTCACAGAGGCCATATCTGACTACAGTGGAGGAAACCTGACTGTAACTGGGCCAAAGGCCACAGCTGGCATCTTTGCCACCTATCCTGCACCATACCTCTCCTTGATGGGTGGATTTATTGACCAGGTAGACATTATGTACTAATCCAATATGCTCAGTTACAAACTCAGTTACACAAGGGGCCGAAACTCAAAACTTGGTCCAAACCAAAGGTCAATCTCTARCAATATTTGTTGAAGAAATGTTATATACCAAATTATTCTTATAGAAATACAACCTTTTCCAAATTATGTTTTATATAGTGTTCATAATATACATAATTAACAGATATATATAAAAAAGATTAAGTTAAGAAAGACTCTTCATATTTATTTCTTGAGGTTTACTCTCAACAGAGGCAGTTCTAGGGGTGGGGCCACAGGGGCATTGGCCCCTGCAGAAATTTGATTGGTCTCCTGAAGTGYCCCTGTCCTGTCACTCATCTGTCCTTTGCCCAAGAGTGATGGTGCTGGGTGCAGTTCTACATCTCAACACTAGAGGCATTAATGGGCCAAATAGAGAAGTCCAGCATGAATCAAGCTGACAGAAGTCTTTTTCTTTTCTTAAAATTTAAACAATCCTGCAGAAAAAGTCTTTCAACTCACAAATGATGGCTGGATTCTCTCACATGCTGTGTGTTTGAGAGTATTTTATCTATGTAATGTAAAATGCATGTCAAACTGGTAAGGAGAATTCACTGTGCAAACTGTTTTAAAGTTATATTACATTACAAGTGTTTAAACATGTGACTGGTAAAATATATACACCATACCAAAACCAGCGATTTGTGTGCAAGGAYGCTGAACAAATTCTTGGACCCTCTATGAATATTGTGGCCCCTTGAAAGCTCCTTACTCAGAAAAATCCTAGATCCGCCACTGCTCTCAGTTAACTTTTGAATTCATTACGTCTTAAATATATGTTTTATTACGATTCATCAAATCAGTTAAATAAAGAAAAAAATTCAATTTTTTAAACTTTAAAATCCGTAAAAGATACAACACAAGCTGCTTAAAGTCGATGCTCTGTTGCTGTTTCCACACTAAAACCAAAGATTATTGAAAAACTCAAACTTTATGTTCTTGGCTTAAAAACTGTCCGTCACGAGAAGAATGCACTCTTTACATTAAAAAAATATATAAAACTACTTCACTTTWAAAAAAATTTCCTTTTGGACCAGATAAACTGTTAACGAGGGGCAGATTTGGCCCACGGGCCTTGAGTTTGACACATGGACTAAGCCCTTTCTTTATCTACAAATTCAGTAATTATTTTGCATTCATTTTAATGATTCAAATATACATGTTGTATAGGATTCACTTGTGCTATTAATGGTATTTTTCAGTGTTGAGATATTTATTTCCCAATAATGGATGTTTACTGTTGGTTTCAGGTCTTTGGCACAGCAATGCTGCTTCTCTGCCTGATGGCTCTGTCCGACCAGAGGAACAAACCAGCTGCTGGGGGCGGGGAACCTCTTGTGGTGGGGCTGGTGGTGGTCCTCATTGGCATGTCTCTGGGCAGCAACAGCGGCTACGCCATCAACCCCACCCGAGACATCGCTCCCAGGGTCTTCACGGCCATCGCGGGCTGGGGAGTGGATGTGTTCAGGTAARAAGGAAGGATTTTGTTTTGCACTCCCATCTTGGTTCAGTCTAACATCTTTTTATTTCTACGTGTGCAGGTCTGGAAATGGGTGGTGGTGGGTACCCCTTGTGGCTCCGCCCATCGGAGGCGTGCTGGGAGCCGGGGTCTACAAGGCGTTTGTGGAGCTGCACCACCGGCCCCTGTCCGGGCAGGGGGAGGAATCTATCCCCCTGAAGAAAGAAGAAAACAACTGTGCTGATGTATGTGCAAAACCTCAAACAAATACAAACATATAGGAGCTTACACAGCTGTGTGAACATCTGTATGCTGCTCAGACAGGAAGATGGATTTAATGGACCAAAACCAGCTGCTTAAATGGGGACAGAGGCACTTTGACAACAATTTAAAGTGTAACGCATTTAAATTATTCACAATGAAACTGTTTAATTATGCTCTGAGCTTTTTGTACTTAATTACATGCTAGTTTTGAGACGTTTTTGGATGAAACGGTTTAAAGCAAAGATAATTCAATGGTGTACAAAAAAAAAGACAAATCACAAATGCTGTCTTATATTTTGTGTTTATCCTTTTCAGAGAAAAGCAGCTGAAGAAGTGACCTTGAGAAGTGTTATAAATAAAATATAGCACATCAACATATCACATAGCRGTTTACAAAGTCAGGGACCTTCAGGATCCTTGAATTTTCAGGGACTATAAAGAGTGGCWAACAACCCCCCATATAGTGCAAGGATACTTTTGAAAATAAACCCAAAGCAGGAGGAGCTGTGCTCCTCGCAGCAGGAAGGAGTCAGTGGACATTCCCACCAATCCTGTCAACAGCAGCCTGTGGACAAAAACAGTTAAATATCTTATTTCTAATCCAAATCTGGATGTTTGATCAGGCATGAGATCACAAGAAGGAAATGGAACAACATGAATAAAAGTGCTGTAGCTTGCATCAGTTCATAAATACAGTATTAATTTATTATTTAAAGTACAAGTAGACATGCTCAATATGTATGCTAAATGTGAATAATACTGCAGGTTGTGTCAGGTGCATAAAGTAAGTGGTGACAGAGTTTATGAGGTCTGCTGTAACTTTTGGTTTTCATTACACTAACATGACTGTTTCACACTGAGGCTGAAAATCATGTCTTCAATGCTTTTGTTTTGCAAAATCAAGTTCTTACTTTCTGCTCAACTAAGTTTTATGTTTTTACATATTCTGGTTTTGAAAATCTTTTAAAAAAGAAAGGTACTACTCAATGAGCTGCAAACTGCCTTTACAATCTTTTTTCTAATATTTAGTATAAAACAAATAAACAAAAGTGAGTAATTAGATCCCTGTGTATTAAGGATTACGTTTGTTTTTTTGAAAAGTATGGCAGGTTGGTAAGTTAATTTTTATCAGAGGAAGACAGCTACAATGAGCTCAGTAATAATCAGTTTTCTTTTACATTTTTAACATTTTGTAACAACTTCAAACATAAAGTGAGCCAGAACACCAGAGAACCTGGTGATGTGTCTGTTCTCATGCTGCTCAGAGCTGAGGGGATAAGTTCACCCAATGAAAAAATGGCCCATCAGTTTTTTATATTTTTTTCAACCATGCAGGTCAGACAGTGAGGCTGCGTGACATTTCCATTGTTCCTGAGCGGGAACTCTTTCACCGCTTTGTCCCACCGAGTCTTCCAGTGTTGCCTTGGCCCCTGGCAGCGGACCCTGAGCTGCACTGAGCCGACTGCTTCTTCGAAGGGGTCGGTCCTTTGGCTTTGCCTTTAAACGCCTTGCTGGGGTCCAGCTTGTTCAGAAAGGGCTCTCCAGCTGCATCTGCTTGGATGAGCTCACTGCTGAAGATCAGGGGCTGGTAGAGGGATGCCCACTGCTGCCGAGAGAACCGGGTCACAGGTCATTTAAAATCATGTTGAAACAAATGTATATAAAAATATTAAGAAAGAAAAAATTCTAAAAAAACCCATTCTGCTTCCTGTACTCAGGCTTTGTCACAAAGCTCACACCCCACCACCACCAGCACCAAAAAAGCCTCTGTGATTTCAAATTTTACCAACTTTTATACAAAAATAAGACAAACACTGATTAAAGTTTATTTTATATACTTGCAGATTGTTGTTAATATGACAACTAAATAAAACACACAAGCCTATTAAAGAAGAAATATCCTACTTTGGTCTACAATCCTCCTTATTGTAACTCCAAAAGCCCCTCTCTTATCCCTTTATGAGGTGTGTCTCAGATCAACTCATTTTGAGGCTGTCTCTTTAAATGCAAATGATGCGCTTCTCACCCCGCCCCATCCAGCTTCCAGACTGGTTCATTCTAACATGACAGAAGGGTTTACGACTATATAGCGGCACAGAAACGTTTTATTTCCAAATTAATTTAAAAGATGTCAACAAGACTTGTCCATCCCTCGGCCCTCAGATTGTCCCTCGTGTTTGGGCGGAGCGCCTGGGGTGGACTTGCCGGCCTGGACGCGTGGCGGTGGGAGCCGGGACGGAGCAACTGGTCTAACGGGTGAGGCGTACCAGCTTCCCTGTTGCCTATTTGGATCAATATCAGCCGTGCCCTGTTTTTCGGTTGAGGATCAAACTGGAGCTACTGGTTTTGGTGAGCATGCTCATGTCCGACATGGTGGGAACCATGTTATTCAAGCCTTGAAGTGTGCGCCATTCAGCGAAGAAAAGAACAGCAAGCTACTGACTGGAATGAGGGTATTTCTCTATCAAATCCAAATCACATTTTGTCAAATTTTTATGATAAGTTGGAGACAATACAGGAAAAATATATTTCAACTTGTAAAKTTCCAGTCCGGAAAAATAAAATTCCATGGTTGAATGCCTCTATAACATCTCCTAAAGTTGAAATCTTCTTCAATGAAAACTTATAGAATATCTAAAACTTCTGAAAATCGGTCTCGTTTAAACAGTTACCGAAATAAATGTGGTGCTAATGTCGTGTCTGGTTC